TAACGTTGCCTATAGGTGTAATTCGATGCCCTGATCACGAATATCACATGCAAGTTTTCATCGACTTTGGTGAAAAAAGTGGTGGGCGCCAAATTGGCGCATAATGGCGCCAAATGACGCCAGCGCTCGAAACGAATGTGATATTCGTGATCAGGGCATCGAATTACACCTATAGGCAACGTTTACAGCGAAAAATTTTTTTGAGGTTTTGGGGTAGGAATAGTTCAATACTGCTGCCATTTTCTTACACCGTTTATTCTTGTCATGGCTGACGATTTGGAGCACGGAAACACTTCAGCATCCTTTTCCCGTCCCTTTTACAATTCAAATTCGAATGGCTAGGCAGCAGAACTCGTCGCGCGCGGCGCAGCATCGTTCGCCGCGCCTGTCCGCGCGGCAAACTACGATTCTCTTGTCATTCACCCAAAGGACGTGTATCGATCGCCTTGCATCTGCGATCGATACATGATTTTGACTGTGGACCGTTGTGCCAAACATTCGAGTAACTCACACCGCATGAGTGATCAATATATTGATCGAGGGCTTTCCGACTGCCACTGAACTTGTTATTTAATCGATCAAAACTCAGTGGTTGCTTCTTCTCACACTATCGCTTACAGAGAAGTCACATATTCAGAGCAGAATACTGTAAGTATAAATCGTCCAAAACTGGTACATTAATTTAACTTTTATACTCACTCACCTTGTTGTTGTACTACACCGATCAATACTGTTCGATCGATAACCTATTTCCACACCGCTCTGCTTGCTACTTACTGCACGTTTCAATTTTTTTGCCTCTGTCGCTTTCATTAGTTGTGATGATGTAACACTAAATAGCAGAAACACTTTCATCTTTACACCCTTTCTAGTTCAAGTACAGGTTGTCAATTTGATCGATAATTGATTAGCCATCGTTTAGATCAGTCTCAACGAGCTTCAATCCTCTACGTCTGGTCGATTTTAGAGCGGGCATGCCACGTGCCATTGCACAAGCAACGGCGGTATGTTAAAGAAACGTTCCGCGGTCATCGGATGGACACAGAATTGGGCGGAGACACACAGCCACTATGTCTTCCTGTCCTCTTTACCGTGTTAGGAAGAGGACCGCCCTAATGAAGAAAAAAAAACGCAAAAATCTCTGCCCATTCTAATCCCCTCCGTTGATCGCAAAATGTGCTTTCAAGATATCCTCTTACTGGTTGTCTAAACCCATTCAGAGATGTATTTCAGGCCGACGATATCGCACTTGCATAGTCTGTATGACAACGTGACTGATCGATTATCGATTTGCTACAAATTTTGTGCAGTATGAAACTTCAAAAAGTTCGAGAAGTGACCATCGTGTTTCGCATGTTATTGATTGATATTGATTTCTGTTGTTATTTTTGGAAACCATAGATCTTAGAGATCATTGCTGTATGTATATAAACTAAATCGTTGTCAATATGATCCTCAGAAAACTAGTTACTTTTCACGTTAATCAAAAATCGATTTATTGATTACCCATCGGAAAGCGCCTCCGCTGCCAATTTCCTTCCCAAAGAGCTTCATACGGGTCAACCATGATGCCATTGTGTTCACGTTGTTGTCTTCAATAAATTCGTTTTTATTTTGCGCGATACGCTATTCTCAGTGGTCCATTGGCCATTGATGATTCTTCATTTCCACTAACCGTATCACCAGAGCCACTTGACCTTGGCCCGGACGGTCACATTTTGCAGGGGAAATGAGTTGAATATAGATCTTCCTAACGAAGAATAGAGGTGTCTTGCTCATTCGTATGGTCATCCATCGATTGCTCGTTTTACTATCCTAGGGGCTTAAGTCACGCTTAGAGCCAGGTATCCTTTTCACCAATTTCTAGTTTCACCTTTCTATTTCATAGCGTTTTATGACATCGCTACATTCTGTCCGTCCATTTACTTTATCAAGAAAATCCTCACAAACGAGTATTCCCTTTGTAAATGAGCCACCGAGTCTGTAATTTCGCTAGAGGCAGTTCGGCGCCTGGATGGGGCATTTTGCACTTCTGTTATCTAATTCTCACCGCGAGACGACCCATCTAGAGAACTATTTCATGAGCTTACAGGAGTTGATAGATTATATGACTCGTTGGCTCGACGAGCCTGTTTCAGCTTCACAAAAGTTCACAGGTTTCACCAGAGTGAGACTTGTGAACCGGAAGTAGTGAAACAGCGAAAGTGCAAAATGCCCCTCCCCGCCGCCGAAGTGCGCCTTTCGCTATAACTCTGTTGAACTCACTTGAGTAATATTTGAAGGTGAGTACACTTTTTCGTGTGTCATGGAATGTAGCTGCTCTCCACTCATAGCCTAGGCCGTGGGTGCGGGCTGTGCAGACGCGCAACGGGTACGCTACGTGCGTCCACGAGTCTGAACGCTAGTGTGCACGGTTTTCGC